GTAGTGATTAGATTGACTATTGCTGTTTAATCAATTAAAAAATAACTACAATAATTAATAGTGTGTGGGTGAGTAAAAGGAATCAATAAGCTATAATGGTGATTGATACAACCATCAGAGTACATTTATTTCTAATGAAAAAGAACAGTGTATATTAGCAGTGTATATCTGATAAACTTAATAGCAATACAGTTGCAAAAATTATTTAAGTGATAGAACTATCATGTCACTATTTAAACACACTCATCAAATATTGACTTATTAATATATAAAGAGAGACACAGACAATGAAGCATGAGACCCTACATGCAAATACTTTTCTAATACAGTAGTAAGTAGGCACTGCAGCATTGGTTAGACTATCTACAGTACTAGATCTAGCAGTAACAAGACCAACATAAAGGAAACACATTCATACCATCCATTATGAAAGTTTCTGTTTTTAGAAACAAATACATAGTTTAAGTTTTGTTTATCACAACAGTAAACACCTAAGCAATCACACAAATTCCAGTCCTTTGAATAGTAACATGTCAAAGATGATCATCTTTATGTTGCTGTTACTGTCCTTACTAGTTACCATTGATGAAGGAGAAGGATCTTATTGTAGGGCTGATTTTAAACATGAATCATCACTGTATATAAGGACATGCTGTAACAGCAGTAACTTAGGACAGACTATTCGTACGAAAAAAGGAAGAGTGAAGACTATCATCATTTGTCCTGATGTATGGCCACAGGCCTGTCCACCAGGTAAATAAACTAATAGTTTAATAATATATTGACATTATAAAATAGATATTATTAATTGTAAGAGCTTGTTTGAGGATGGTAACACTACAAGTGGTGTTTATACTGTTAATCCTGATGGAGGGACTCCATTTGAAGTTAGTTAAAGCAATCCTTCATCATTTATAATGATGGACTATATTGGATCACAGGTATACTGTGATATGGAGACTGATGGTGGTGGATGGACTGTATTTCAGAGGAGAGAAGATGGATCTGTTGATTTCTATAGGAATTGGACTGACTATGAGAATGGATTTGGTGACCTTACTGGTGAGTTTTGGTTAGGATTGAGCAAGATTCATCGTCTTACTAAAGAAAGATCAAACACACTAAGAGTGGACCTGGGAGATTTTGATAATGACACAGCTTATGCTAACTACTCTACATTCAGTGTTAGTGATGGTAGTACTGAATATATACTAACAGTAGGAGGATACTCTGGTACTGCTGGGGACAGTCTGTTGTGGCATTATGGAAGGAGATTCAGTACATATGATAATGATAATGATGCAGCATCAGTATTTAACTGTGCTCAGTACTACACTGGTGCCTGGTGGTATCATACCTGCTATCATTCAAGCCTTAATGGTCAATATTTTAATACTTCAAGTAGTAATAGTCAAGGAATTAAGTGGTATGGTTGGAAGACCACTACTCTGCAGTTCTCAGAGATGAAAACTCGTTGAAACAATTAAATACTGTCCCCCACACATAAGTGTGTTTACATTGTGCTGATATATTATTATGCCATTTCAATATTAAAGTCTGTCATACCTTGTAATGATTATTTGCCATTAATTTTTTATTAATAGCAATAAATAATAATAACAATTGGTTTCTACTACACAGGCGGGGCTGGTGTGCTACATGAAATTCATTAGTCCATTATTGTCAATATTAAGTTAGAAGTGCATCTGTCTAATAGATCTACTACAACTAAACACATAAACAATTAATGCTAATAGTTTAAGTTAAAGAATCAACACAATTGATCTATGTATACCATTGACTGAGTGTAGCAAAAAACAAGGTATGATCATAATACATACTAAAGATTTAATTAACAGTAGTGGAAGGATAGAGAGAAAAAGTGAAGAAATAGCCATTAACACTACAGTAACAGTTAATAGTGCATAAGCATTCATGTAAAGCATGCACTCATTATAAAATACTCACATTCATGCAGTATATCCCAACATTGGTAGAGTAACTGCATAAACACAGTGGGGATCAAGCAAAGTAAACAAAAACAAGATACATATCTTGCATTTTGGTTGATAAAGTTGATTGTGTGACAAGCTTCAAATACCCTGCCTATACAAATAGTTATACTGCCAATACTGCCATAGACACACATACATGCATTACATTATACAAGTTATAGCTCCAGGTGGCATGTTTGCAACAATAAAAATGAAAATAATGTTATTAATTAGAAAATAAACATTCCATTGAGTTTTGCTATGCATACATGTACATGTATACTCTCTCCTTCTGCTAGCACTGAGGTAAGTACACTTAGTCTAAATTTAAAGACTGAAAGAGATGTGTTGATGTTTAGTACAATGTTACTAAAAGTCAACAAAATGTTGTTCAATCTTTATAGTCCACTAGTCATGGAGCTAGTGTCAGTGAGTTTATTATAAAAGGAGAGAAATATCACTACAGTAACATCAACTGATAACCTATCACATTATCTTAATAAGTATATAATAGAGATACTATACTGAGATGATGTTAGCTGGTAAACTGATGTACAGTTTAATGATAATAATTGTTATTATTAATACTGTCAATGGAAACTGTCCTGATGATGAGACACCATCACCTTCACCTTCTCCATCACCCTCTCCATCACCTTCCCAAACACCAACTCCTTCTCCCTCTCCCTCTCCAATGGTTACTTATGAGTATCTTTCTTCTCCAAATACTACAGTTAATGCTCCACCAGGTAAATAAACTATTGTACAATAATTATTAATAATACATACATACATGCAGTGTGTGTAATGCCAACTGATTGTAAAGCATGGAAAGAACTGGGAATTAAACAAAATGGAGTATATCCTATAAAACCAGATAGTGGACCAGCTTTCCAAGTAATATTTAATTGTATTATATTTCATTATTACACTATTGAATCACAGGTATACTGTGATATGGAGACTGATGGTGGTGGATGGGCTGTATTTCAGAGGAGACAAGATGGATCTGTTGATTTCTACAGAGGTTGGACTGACTATGAGAATGGATTTGGTAACCTTACTGGTGAGTTTTGGTTAGGATTGAGAAAGATTCATCGTCTTACTAAAGAAAGATCAAACACACTAAGAGTGGACCTGGGAGACCATCATGGAAACACAGCTTATGCTAACTACTCCACATTCAGTATTAGTGGTAGTAGTACTGATTATACACTAACAGTAGGAGGATACTCTGGTACTGCTGGGGATAGTCTGGCCTTTCATAATGGAATCAGATTCAGTACAGAAGATAATGACAATCGTGTTAATACAGCAGGTAATTGTGGTCATGAGCGCCATGGTGCCTGGTGGTATAAGGGTTTTCATATACAGTGTGATCGTTCAAATCTTAATGGTCGTTATTTGTATGGAGGTCATAATCATGATGCTACTACTTGGCAAGCTTGGAAAGGATACTATAATCTCGATTTCACTGAAATGAAAACTCGTCGTAATAATTAAATACTGTTCCTCACAGAAAAGTGTGTATAGTTAGTGGTGACTTATTATTTCAAATTTTCGATATTGCAGTGTGTCATACCTTGTAGATGTAGTGATTAGAATATTTACTTTTTTATTATAAAATTTTAACTCATTATTAAAATTAAAGAATTGTATTAGAATGAAACAAATTTTGAACAAGCAAGGTTTTAAAAGCACAGTATACAGTAAAGCAGGCCTTTCTATAAGCTATAGAATACACCTCCATTTAACGGACAGCACCTAGTCTAGTGCACCAGTGACATTCCTTAATGCATAATAAACTTTATTCTAAAAAGGACCAACAAAGTGTTACTTCTGAAAATTAAAAGCTGTTAGTACTATTATAAGGAATCAGTTATAAGTCTAATGAGCAGAGCACTGCAGGTCAATCCTTTTTTTTACAAAAATTGTTTCTACCAAATGTAATTAAGAGTGTGGGCAGTGTAAATTAATTTTGGGATGTAGCCATATAAGTGATTGAAAAAATGCTGGAGTTTATAAGTCATATTGTAAAACAATCAGATGCAGATGCATAAACTTTCAATACATACTTTAAATTCCAATCCTTGCTTTCTAGTGAAGTGTTAAAGATGTCCATCTTTATGATGTTGTTGTCCTTACTAGTTAACATTGATGAAGGAAAAGGATCTTATTGTATGGCTGATTGTACTGGAAATAAACATGAACCATCACTGTATATAAGGACACGCTGTAACAGCAGTAACTTAGGACAGACTATTCGTATGAGAGAAGAAAGAGTGAAGACTATCATGGTATGTCCTGATGTAAGGCCACAGGCCTGTCCACCAGGTAAATAAACTAATAGTTTAATAATATATAATACTGACACTATAAAAATAGATATCATTGATTGTAAGAGTTTGTTTGAGGATGGTAATACTACAAGTGGTGTTTATACTGTTAATCCTGATGGAGGGACTCCATTTGAAGTTAGTTAAATCCTTCATCATTTATAATGATACACTATATTGGATCACAGGTATACTGTGATATGGAGACTGATGGTGGTGGATGGACTGTATTTCAGGGGAGACAAGATGGATCTGTTTATTTCTATAGGAACTGGACTGACTATGAGAATGGATTTGGTGATCTTACTGGTGAGTTTTGGTTAGGATTGAGCAAGATTCATCGTCTTACTAAAGAAGGATCAAACACACTAAGAGTGGACCTGGAAGACTTTGATGATAACACAACTTATGCTAACTACTCTACATTTAATGTTAGTGATGGTAGTACTGAATATATACTAACAGTAGGAGGATACTCTGGTACTGCTGGGGATAGTTTAGCATATCATAATGGAAGCAGATTCAGTACATTTGATAATGATAATGATGCAACAGGAGATAACTGTGCTCAAGAACGCAATAGTGCCTGGTGGTATAGTGGTAGCGAGTGTGAGTGTGCAAATCTTAATGGTCCTTATATTGGTAAAGGTTATAATGATGATGCTATTACTTGGCAAGACTGAAAAGGATACCATAGCCTTAAGTTCACAGAGATGAAAACTCATTGTAACAATTAAAATACTTTCCCCATACACATTGTGCTGATTATATTATTATGCATGCCATTTTAATATTACAGTCAATGATACTTCACAAAAATTATTTAAAAATAATAGAACTAAAAAATGTGTCACTATATATTTAAAATAGTATCAAATATATTGGTTTATTAATTTATAATAAGAGACACAGAGAATAAAACAAGAGACCCTACATGCATATACTTTTCTAACACAGTAGTAGTTAAGTATGTACTGAAGATCTGGTTAGACTATCTACAGCACTATAGATCTAGCAGCAACAAGACATAAAGGAAACACATTCGTAGCATGCATTATGAAAGTTTCTGCTTTTCTAAACAAATTAGATCTTATATACACAGTTTAAATTTTGCTCATCACAACAATAAACACCAAAATAATCACACAAATCCCAGTCCTTCGAATCGTAAAATGTCAAAGATGATCATCTTTATGATGCTGCTGTTGCTGTCCTTACTAGTTACCATTGATGAAGGAGAAGGATCTTATTGTATGGCTGATTGTACTGGATATAAACATGAACCATCACTGTATATAAGGACATGCTGTAACAGCAGTAACTTAGGACAGACTATACGTATGAAAGAAGGAAGAGTGAAGACTATTACCTTGTGTCCTGATGTAAGGCCACAAGCCTGTCCACCACTAAGTAAATAAGCTAATAGTTAAAACATTAATAATACTAACACTATACACTAGATATCAGTGATTGTAAAAGCTTGTTTGAGAATGGTAATAATGTAAGTGATGTTTATACTGTTAATCCTGATGGAGGGACTCCATTTGAAGTTAGCTAAAGTAATCCTTCATCATTTATAATGATATACCATTGTATCACAGGTATACTGTGATATGGAGACTGATGGTGGTGGATGGACTGTATTTCAGAGAAGAGAAGATGGATCTGTTGATTTCTATAGGAACTGGACTGAATATGAGAATGGATTTGGTGACCTTACTGGTGAGTTTTGGTTAGGATTGAGCAAGATTCGTCGTCTTACTAAAGAAGGATCAAACACTCTAAGAGTGGACCTGGGAGACTTTGAGGGGAATGAAACATATGCTAACTACTCTACATTCAGTATTAGTGATGGTAACACTGAATATATACTAACAGTAGGAGGATACTCTGGTACTGCTGGGGATGGTCTGTGGTATCATAATGGAAGCAGATTCACTACATATGATAATGATAATGATGAATCAGGAGGTAACTGTGCTCAAGGATTCACTGGTGCCTGGTGGTATTATAGATGCTATTATTCAAATCTAAATGGTCGTTATTTTAATACTTCAATCATCATTGGTCAAGGAATTAGGTGGTGGATTTGGATACCAACAACTCTGCAGTTCACAGAAATGAAAACTCGTCAAAACAACTAAATACTGTCCCCCACATACATAAGTGTGTTTACATTGTGCTGATATATTATTATGTCATTTCAATATTACAGTCTGTCATACCTTGTAGTGATTATTTGCCATTATATATTTTTATTATTAATTGTAATAAATAATGATAATCGATTTCTTCTACAGAGGTGGGGCTAATGTGGGAGGAGGCAAGTTTATACATGAAATCAAGAGTGGTTGATGAAATCCATTACATTATGTCAATTATTGTCAATATTAGTTAATTGGGGGAGAGTCTCAGCTTGTCCCACTAAGACAAAAATACTAGAAGTGCATCTCTCTAATAGATCTACTACAACTATACACATAAACAATTAATGCTAATAGTTTAAGTTAAAGAATCAACACAATTGATCTATGTATACCATTGACTGAGTGTAGCATAAAACAAGGTATGATCATAATACATGTACTGAACATTTAATTAACACTGAAGGAGAGAGAGAAAAAAAGAGAGAAAAAATGAAGACTAAAATAGCCATTAACTACAGTAACAGTTGATAGTGCATAAGCATTCATGTATAGCATGCACTCATTATAAAATACTCACATTCATGCAGTATTATCAACACATTGGTAGAGTAACTGCATAAACACAGTGGGGATCAAGCAAAGTAAACAAAAACAAGATACATATCTTGCATTTTGGTTGACAAAGTTGATTGTGTAACAAGCTTCAAATACCTCATACCTATACATATGTTAGTACTGCCATAGACACACACATGCATTACATTATACAAGTTATAGCTCCAGGTGGCATGTTTGCAACAATAAAAATGAAAATAATGTTATTAATTAGAAAATAAACATTCCATTGAGTTTTGCTATGCATACATGTACATGTGTACTCTCTCCTTCTGCTAGCACTGAGGTAAGTACACTTAGTCTAAATTTAAAGACTGAAAGAGATGTGTTGATGTTCAGTACAATGTTACTAAAAGTCAACAAAATGTTGTTCAATCTTTATAGTCCACTAGTCACGGAGCTAGTGTCAGTGAGTTTATTATAAAAGGAGAGAACTTTCACTACAGTAACATCAACTGATAACCTATCACATTATCTTAATAAGTATATAATAAAGATACTATACTGAGATGATGTTAGCTGGTAAACTGATGTACAGTTTAATGATAATAATTGTTATTATTAATACTGTCAATGGAAACTGTCCTGATGATGAGACACCATCACCATCACCTTCACCTTCTCCCTCTTCATCACCATCACCTTCTCCCTCTCCAATGGTTACTTTTGAGTATCTTTCTTCTCCAAATACTACAGTTAATGCTCCACCAGGTAAATAACTATTGTACAATAATTATTAATAATACATACA